TTAAAAACATGGTCAATTTAAAAAAAATAATAATTTTTTTTTACTAATTAAACAAAATTTATTTTAACGTTAGAACAAGTAACAAAACCAAACCATAATTGCAAAATAAAAAATGATTCAAAAGTTGTCTTTGCTAAATTCTCCAAACCGTAAAGGTAACGCATTTCGAACATTTCAGCATTTGTGTAAAAAATCATTTTTTATTTTTTTTTTAATTTTGCAATTATCGTTTGGTTTTGTTACTTTTTCTAACGTTAAAATAAATTTTGTTTAATTAGTAATAAAATTTTTTTTTCGAAAAATTGAACATGTTTTTAAATATAAAAGTTGATTTTTCTCGAAAACGGTCAACTTTAGAGCTTATGACCAAGAGTACCTTTTTTGTGTAGAAAACATTGGCGGTTCAAATGGGCCTCTCAAAACCGTATTTTTTTTAGGGGCGTTGAAGTTGAGGAGAAAAACACCCGCTACCCCTTCAAAATCTCCACCAATTATGAGTAAAAAAAAATTTTTTCTGGCACAAAACATAGCTTATTATGAGTAGAAAATGCTTACAAAAGCTGTTTTTTGTACGACAAACGGTTCCAGAGATAATCGAAAAAAACGATTTTTTTTCTAAAATTTCAACACCCTGTATCTCGAAAATTGTGCATTTTAGAGGGTAAGTTAATAGCGACTTTTTTAATCTTTTTGGATGAGCTATCACATCCTGAAGTCCTGCGCATATATTATGAAACACCCTGTATAGGTAACTGAACTAAATATGCTTAACAGGAATATTCCTAAATAAACTTTCTATAGGAATTACTTTCTTAACATTCTAAGCATATGTTTAGAGTAGACTAATTTTTACCACTAAAACATTGCACCTTCTAAGAACCTGCCTATAGGCCAGTAAGAATATTCTTAGGATCATGCTATATTTATTTTAAGCATGTTCTTTAGAAGAAATATATCATGATCCTAAGAATATTCTCACTGGAAGGTTTAAAAAACATTCTCAGAATAAAGTGTGCCATTAGGGTTTACATAATCAAACAGTAAATTAAAAAACATTTCGATTGATGTAACTATTCCCTGTACCTAAAGTTAATAAATTAAAAATTTTAAAAATTATTTTATATCAAGAAACCTGTGACAGGTGAGTTTACAGTATCTATAGTTATCTGTCATTATTCAAAATTTAATGGCGTCAATTTTTCAGGTTGTTATAAACAATTTGTTGACTAACTACGTTTTTTGTAAACAAAATTACCTATAAACAATAGCACTCAGTGGCTTATAAAAAAATAGACAAGCCAAACATTTTAAAAATTTAAAAGTAATCCAACACTAGTGTTTTCTAATTTTGAAAAAAAGTCAACAAAGCTGTAAGATGTCAACTGGATAAAGCACTAGCTCTTTGGAGACAATAAAATATAAAATTTATTTTATGAAATATTTTAATAACTTAAATAATGCATAGCTGTAACAATTTAATAAACCAACAATATTTTAGCCCAGAAGAGCAACGTCTTATATAGAAGTAAAATAGCATTAATTGAAGTGGTAAATCCGTCAATAAAGTTATTATTATTATTAGGTATTAAAAATTAAGAAATGCTTGAATGTAAATAGAGGAGACTTTAAACATTTAGTAATAAAATTTTTAAACCGTAAGTGGCATTTTGTTCAAAATATTTTTTTAAAATAGACTTAAAACGATTTTATTTTTAAAATTTTAAATCGGATCAATTTTTCCGTTACCCAGAAACTTCTAATGAACCACGAATGTGAAACATCCTGTATATTAGGGTGGAGCGAAATATGAATATTTTTAAAATTGAAAACTTGTGTATGATAAAAATAAATATTTTGGTGGAAAAAAAATAATTTTTTTAATTCCTTTTACCGCCCCAGAGCTATCCTAAATATAAAAATCATAAAATTCAGACAAGAGCAGAAAACGGTTAATAAAATTCTTTTTTGAGCCAAAATATTTTATTTTAATATTTCATTTTATAATTATAATTTGAGCTGGGGCAAAAAACGGTAGTAATCTAAATTTATTTTTATAATTAAATAAATTGTAATAATAGTATATTATGTATCAAGTTTGATAAACGCCATTTTATACACGAATTTAATTTAGGCACGAGCGAGCTAGCGAGCGAGTGCTTAAGGTAATTAGTGTATATAAAAGGTTATAAACGAGGTGCATACTATACTTTTTCCACGACAAATATTTATTATTATCTTAAAATGATTTAAATCAAAAATTTGTATAGAGCGCCATCTATAAAACAACAGGGAAAACTGTCAAATGTCACATTTTTACATTTTATAAACACATTATGAAGGTTATAAATCGAAATGTTTCTTGAAAATCTACAGTTTTTCACAGTGAAAGTAAAGGAAATGTTTTATGAGGACTTTACAGTAGAGTCCGTGCCCGAATTTAAGTTATAGTTTACTGCCGGCGAAATTAAAAGGTCAGTACAATGTTCATATAAACTTTTCAAATATTGGCGTTGAGAAACTATTTAATATTTTTGTATTGAGATAATAAAATAATTTTCACATTTAGTATTATTTTACAAGAAAGGCACTTTATTTTAACGATTGTATGACATTTGACAACTGTCAACTAACTTAAAACTTGTTGCTAACTTCAGCCCGTGACTAAAGCGCCATAAAGCCACAACTTGTTAATGTGTATTTAAAAGGTCACTTAGTGTCATGGAAACATGTACGATAAAGGGCGTTTTAAAGGTGGGAGTAGAAAAATGTATATAAAGTTGGTCTCTATGGCATTTACGAAAATAAAAGTTTTATTCAAATTAAAAACCTTTTTTTTGACTAATTTTTTTATGGAATATGATTTTGAAAATGTTTCGTTTCGTTTAAAAACGAAAAATTAAAAAAATAGCGTATTATTTAGTTAGATTATAAAAAAGTAATTATCATTTAAACAAAAAATACAGAAATTTATGTAAACATACACATTTATCTTCATTTTTATCCAATATCTTTTGAGTTACCATTACTATCTTTTTGTTTTTATAATGGCCGTCTAGAGATGCGACTTAAAAAAAACGGTCCGTTTTTTTTGTTTTTTTTTCAGGTTTTTTTTCATTGTTTTTTTTCAAATGGTTTTTTTTCACATTTTAGGTTTTTTTTCAAGATTAGTCCCAATTGTCTAATTTTTAAGTTTCCAGTCCAGTTCATGGACTAAAATTAGCCTCTAAATGACAATTAGTAAATGTAAATACAGTCTCGCGCTATGCACGCGCCACCACCACCGAATTGACCAATAAGGACCGCGCTTGTTTTGATTTAGTCCTAAAAAAAGTAACTACATATAATATTTTTGAATCAGCGATTGATTTTTCAAAAAGCTACCAAAAGCACTTTTTTCATGATTTTTCAAATTCATGTAGAGTGGATTTTTTTTTTTTAAAAGCAATAGCAAATTCTTGTAGAACATTTGTGGTTAAGTCAGAACATTCCGTGGACCAGAAAGCCAAAAACTACTGTATTCGTTAGGATTGAGCGTTGCACATTTTTTATCTAAAAATCTCAAAACTAGAAACTTCAAGCTTAATTGCTTTTTTTACGGCTCCAATACGACCATTTTTAACAAAGATACAGCTATCCGAAGAATCGCAAATTTTTTTTTTATCCTTTAATTTTTTGTATTAGTATATTTGTATTACATTGCTATTGTTTTCTAATGTGGAAACTACCAAATAATAAGAAATCAGATTTTTTAGCCTCGGTCAAAATTTTCAATAATGAAAAATGTAATATATTCTATATTTCACTTTATTAATATACATTTTACTCAAAATTGTATTTTGAAAAAAAAACAAAAAAAACCGTTTTTTTTCTAGGTTTTTTTTCATGTTTTTTTTCACATCTAAAAAAAAACCGTTTTTTTACATCTCTATGGCCGTCATACACTGTTTAAAATATCTGTGGTGTAAAAAGTAATCCTAAAATGGTGTCAAAATCCAACACCAAGTGGTGTTCATATATCACCATGAATTATGGTTGAAAATGAACACCAAAACGGTGTTTATCTAAAAATATTTGAGAAGTGCACCTACACAGAAAAAAAGAAATAGTTCATTTATATTAATTTAGTTGACCCATAAGTATTTATTTTTTTGTGGATCACGTGATGTTCTTAAATCTCGCCTCTGTTGACTTACATGAAGAATATATAAACTCATGTTGTCCTTTGCTTTGGTGTGACACTACAAGTTGTTCTATACTAAAGAGACCTTAAATAGGTGGAAACAGCTGTCAATACTTGAAGTATTTTAAGTTAGTGGAACGAACTAAAAACATTATCTCTAGCGAGTTGAAGGTTCCATTTTCTGGAATAATACCACTGGTAATGTACTAGTAATGCGTCAAGGAACTTCCTGTTTCCTTTTTTTCCTTTTTTCTGTGTAGTATGATTTAATTTGACCACAAACACATGAAAAGGAGTTCAATTTACACCAGGTAAAATTTATTTTAATACTGTGTGAAAGTTAAATTTACACCATTTTATTATTTGAATTTACACCATTTTAGTATTTAAATTAACACCGGACCAACGAATCCTATTTAACACCATTTTGGTTTGTATCGATATGGACCAAATATGGTGTTAATTTGGTGTTAAAATGGTCATGAAATTTTGAACAGTGTAACTTGTGTTGTAAGTTTAAATAACTTTAATAATAAACTGTAAACATTTATATTTATAAGTTTTTAATTGGATAATTGTTGCAAATGCAATTTTTGTAGGTTAGGGGCCCATAAATCCTTTGATAGTGTGTATTTAGTACTAATGCTGTTTTTTAATTTCAGATCGCAACATGACCCCTTCCATCCTTCAATAAAAACCGAGAAAATACGCAAAAACGCTACCCAAACTACAAGCTCAACCAATCGATAAATGCAGCTTACGTAACACACGACAGCAGCGTAACTGCAGCACGTGACGTAACACTTTCGGCGGGAACTAAATGGTCGGTAGCGGCGCAACGCACGGCAACATGGCTAGCCTACAGCAGACGATGAACGGCAACACTGCGGGCGTGGGCGGCGGAGGAGGAGGCGGCAACGGCGGCGGCGGTGCCAGTGTTAGTGACTTTTACGTCGGCAAGACTGTTTTCATAACCGGAGGCACGGGGTTCATGGGCAAGGTGCTGCTGGAGAAGTTGCTGAGGAGTTGTCCGGGGGTGGCGAGGATTTATTTGCTGATCAGGCCCAAGAGGGGGCAGGAGGCGCAGGAGAGGTTGCAGCAGCTGCTCACGTCACCGGTAAGGACTAGAATAATAAAAATTACAGTTTTTGAATGAAAAAAAAAACAATAAAACTATGACAACCTCTCCATATTAAAAAATAGGATTTCTTGTAAAAAGATTTAACATTTTATACGGTTTAAGGACATTTTTTTTTAGTTTTAAGCCTGATTTATAGATTGCCTTCCTTCCTTCCTTCCTCCCGTAGAAGATGAACAATACAATCCGGTACGGGAATCTATAAAAGGTTTTCGTATTGTTCATCCTTTAGGTGAGGAAGGAAGGAAGACAATGTATAAATCTGGCTTTAGGCAATTTTGACAATTGTTAAATAGTTTAAAAACAGTTTAACAAATTTTTGGCCAGAGAAAATTGTTTTAGATTTTTTATATTTAAATCAAATAAAAAACGAGTCGTTAGCCTTTTCGAGTAATCCAATAATTTTTTTTTTTTATTAAAAAACGATTTAAATTCTTTAAAGAATATTTAACATAACCTACAAAGTTTCTAGTAGAAACCACTTGTTGAATTCATTTGTAATTCTTAACACAACTGTGTTTAAAGACAAAATTGGTGGACATTTTTAGACATTTGTATGATATTTTAGACAGTATTAGAGTATATTAGGCAAGTCAGCCCAAAACTAGTTTTTTGTCGAAAAACTCAAAAAGTTATTCCTTCTTCCGGTTTGTTTTTTTCTTAAAGTTCTGACGCCATTAAAGATGTATAAGTTGTATCACCTTATTCCACCCTATTTGGGTACAGTTAATTCTTAGGTTTTGCAGATTTTTATTATTTAAATCAAATAAAACACGATTTAAATACTGAATATTTAACAACCTAGAAACCACGGTCTTATATATAGAAAAATATGTAGGATTCATTCGTAATTCTTGACACAACTGTGTTTAAAGATAGTTTTTACTAAAAACTTTTTGGCCAGACAATATTGGCGGACATTTTTAGAAACTTGTATGATATTTTAGACAGTATTAGAGTATATTAGGCAAATGAGCCCAAAAGTAGTTTTTTTTTGTCGAAATTTAGATTTAAAAACTCAAAATAGCTCTATCTTTCTCCGGTTTATTTTTTTTTCTTATAGTTCTGACGCTAATAAAGATGACCTAGAAACTACGGTCTTATAGAACCGTGCTAGAAAAAGATGTTGGACTTATACGTAATTCTTGACACAGCTTTGTTTAAAGATAATTTTTACTAAAAACGTTTTGATCAGACAAAATTGGTGGACATTTTTAGACAGTTGTGTGATATTTTAGACAGTATTAGAGGCAAGTCAAGTCAAAACTAGATTTTTGGCGAAATTTGGATTTAAAAAACTCAAGAAAGCTTTAATGACCTTGTTTCCTTTTTTAAGGGGAAATTTGTAGATTTGCCGTAACATAATACGTATTAATATGTCTATGGTATCATATATTTTAAATTCCCCACTTATGAACCGACTATGCGTATAAGGTAAATGTTATAACATCTACAAATTTCCCGTACGTCCACTTATGATACGAATTGTCAACTAAACAAAAATTAGGTTGTATTAAATTTTTCTAAATTATTTGCTTTATAAAAAGCAAAAATTGGCATAATTTGCATATTATGTAAAAGCATATTATGTAAAAGCGACTAAAAATCATGTAAACACAATGTAGAAAAACAATGCCAAAACAATTGGTATGCAACAGAAAACAAACAAAATGGTTGATTTTAAAAACCATCTACATATTAATATATCTATGATAAAAACCTTCCGGCCATCGTGATCGAAATACGACGTTGTCAAATTCTTCTGTTATAAATATGCCATTATAAAATCTAAAATATCATCATTTTGTATGTTTATTATTGTTAAATGCTTTTTATCATAAAATTTATGAAAAAGTATTTATTATACTTTTAAAATAGGGATGCATGCGCATTAATGCAATCTCCCGTGTTGTTATCACTTCCCCTACTTTAACCCCACAAAAAGGAAAAGTCTCAGTTACAAATGATTTGTGTAGAAGTATGTGCTTAGTGGCGCCATCTGTCACTTTTTCTTAGAACAGAAGAAATATAAAATGTTTGAAAAAAAAACAACAAAATAACACTATTGATAAATTTTAACGTAAACTTGCCAATGTTAGGTTGGAGAAAAATTCATGAGGCAAATCTTTTTAAAATTGAAAAGCTATAGCTATAATTAAATAATTGCACTGAATATAAAACAAAAAATTGAATTGAATTTGGGCCTGTCATTTTCATGCCCAATTTAATTAAAATGTACCAAATATTGACATAATATGTCAATATTTGGTACATTTTAATTAAATTGGGCATATTATACCGGACGATTTTGCGTAATGTTGGGTCTTCATTGATCCTATTAAAAGATTAAATGTATGTGATTTTATTTTGTTATAAGAATTTTTATGAATATTAAAAATATCTCATTTTTTTTTTAAAAAATGGCGAATTCTCCGGGGTCAATAAATAAACATGGGTGCTTAATAATACAATATTTCTCACATTATTTCACAGGAAGGCACTTGACATTTGACAACTGTCAGCTAACTTAAAGCTAACTTCAGCCTGTGACTAAAGCCACAACTTGACAATGTTCATTTAAAAAATCACTTAGTGCCATGGAAACAATAATGTGAGTTTTAAAGTTGGAAGTAGAAAAAAAAATGTTATTTGGTTTTAGTCGATAAACTTTATGTAAATGTAGAAATTCTCTCAGGCATTAAGACAAGAAAAACAAATTATTCACATTCCAATAAATTCGTATAAAAGAGACATTCAATTTTTTTCTGAAATTCAATTTAAGAAATATACATAGATTATGTATATATATATGTATACATATATATATATATACTTTTTTCTTTATTTTTTTTAAATACATTTCATCAAAAAACCTTTTACAAATATTGCCTTTTTATTTACCTTTAAAAAGAAATGCTTTATTAAACTAAATTTTGGTAATTTTCTCTGAAAAGTATTCACTACAATCCTGTTATAAAACATTTTCTAGCCATTAATAAAAATCCAACATTTTTATTAATAGTTTTCTAACAATTCTAACGGCAAAAAGTTTGTCACAATAAAATGTATTGTAGCATTGTTCCTATAGTTATATTTATAAATGCTATTTATACCTAGAAACGCTTTCATAAAATGCATCAAAATAAATAAAAATTGTGTTTGTAGTAAGTTTATACATTTAATTGTATACTGGGAAATGTATAGGTTTTTAATTTATGTTGTTTTATTTTTCGTTTTAACTAAGTACAATTTTTTGGAGTGCGTTCTATTTATTTTGTTTTAAGTTATCATAGGATATTAACCTACTTACCAAATACCAAATATACCTAATAAAGGTGTGCTTTGGGAAATACACTTAATGGTTGATGGTAATTATCCAAATTATATATTTTTAACACTTTGGGTGTGGACATACAAAAGTTCTCTTTTAGTTCCACCCTTACTTTTTTTAAGTGAGAATATTCAAATTTACAAATCAAATTGAATCGATTACATAGTTTAAAATTATTCGATTTAAAATCCGAATATTTTATGCACCCTTACTTTCTTAGAAATACTTTAAGTGTAGGTATTAAAATTGAATGTGTGCGAATATTCAAATTTACAAATTATTCGAGATAGTTCAAATTATTCGAATAGTTCTAACATTCAAATAGTTCGATTCAAAATCCGAATAATTTTTTACGTCTGTCATCTGTCATTTTTAACATTTGTTTTGACAAATTACGAAATATTAGAGACAAATCGAATCGAATAGTTCGAATTATTCGAATAGTTTAAATTATTATTATTATTATTATCGATTAAAAATCCGAATAATTTTTTACGTGTCATCTGTCATTTTTGACATTTGTTTTGAAAAATTACGAAATATTAAAGACAAATCGAATCGAATAGTTCGAATAGTTTAAATTATATGAATACTTTGAATTATTCGAACATTCAAATAGTTCGATTCAAAATCCGAATAATTTTTTACGTCTGTCATCTGTCATTTTTGACATTTGTTCGAATAGTTTGAACTATTCCAATATTTCAAACTTTTAAATAGTTCGATTTAAAATCCGAATAATTTTTGACGTCTGTCATTTTTGACATTTGTTTAGTCCCATATACAGTGCTTGCAAATCCAAGTCCGACCGGCTTGGGAAGGACGCGTGAAAATAACAAGGATAGAACGCCAAACAGAAGGCGCTTACAATACGCACGCCTGACGCTCTGACCAATCAAATTCTGTTTGGCATTCTATCCTTATTCTTTTCACGCGGGTATTGAACATCCATCCTTCCCAACGCGGTCGGACTTGGATTTGCAAGCACTGTATGGGTGCACCCTTACTTTCTTAGAAATACTTTTTTTAAGTGTATTAAAATTGAGTGTGCGCGAATATTCAAATTTACAAATTATTCGAGATGGTTCAAATTATTCGAATAGTACAAATTATTCGAATAGTTCTAAAATTCAAATAGTTTGATTAAAATCCGAATAATTTTTTACATCTGTCATCTGTCATTTTTGACATTTGTTTTGACAAATTACGAAATATTAGAGACAAATCGAATCGAATAGTTCGAATTATTCGAATAGTTTAAATTATTTGAATACCTACTTTGAATTATTCGAATAGTTCGAACATTCAAATAGTTCGATTCAAAATCCGAATAATTTTTTACGTCTGTCATCTGTCATTTTTGACATTTGTTCGAATAGTTTGAACTATATTTCAAACTTTTAAATAGTTCGATTTAAAATCCGAATAATTTTTGACGTCTGTCATCTGTCATTTTTGACATTTGTTTAGTCCCGTATATGGGTGCACCCTTACTTTCTTAGAAATACTTTTTTTTAAGTGTATTAAAATTGAGTGTGCGAATATTCAAATTTACAAATTATTCGAGAGAGTTCAAATTATTCGAATAGTACAAATTATTAGAATAGTTCTAACATTCAAATAGTTCGATTAAAATCCGAATAATTTTTTACGTCTGTCATCTGTCATTTTTGAAATTTGTCATTCCATTATTTTTTAAATTAGTTTTCTGTCATTTAGTCAATAAATTTTCAAAGTATCATCCCCAGTTGCTAATAGTGTTCGAATCGAATCAAATGAAATATTGGAATTTTTCAAATACAACTCACAAACCCCTACAAAATCCTTCAATCTCTATAAATAATCTTAAAATCATCCTGAAAGCATTTTGTAACCTTTCAGTAATTACCTAGAGATTATACCTATAGAAATTATCTAAAAAGCATTTTTTAATCTCATTTAGAATTCATCTTAATAAAATCTCACCCCGAAATCATCTAGAATTAATTAATTAAAATCATTTTAAAATTAAAACTTGTGCAATGGCGGACAAAAAATTTCGAACATCAAACTTCTGTCATTTAAAAAAATGTCTGTGGGACATTTTTGACAAGATGACAAGCAGTTTCAAAAAGTAGACAGAGAATCTAACCTTAAAACAACACAATCAACAATGAAATACGTCAAACTGACAACTTTCAGAAAGTAAGGTTAATTGTCACTAAAGGCAGTTTTACATTTTAAAATCAACTGAATGACAGGTCGTTCGAAATTTTTAAAAACTTACTAAAATTAATTTACTTCCATTCCAGCTGTTCGACCCGCTGAGGAAAGAACGTCCTCTGGATCTGGGCAAAGTGCACCCGATCCAGGGCGACATCACGCAGAAGGAACTGGCGATAAGTGCCAACGACCGCGCGACGTTGTCGCGAAACGTCAACATCGTTTTTCACAGCGCTGCCACTGTCAAGTTCGACGAAAAGCTCAAACTATCGGTCACGATCAACATGCTGGGCACGCAGCGTCTGGTGGAGCTCTGCAGGACCATGGACCATCTGGAAGCGCTGGTACGTATTTAAAAAAGTGAGAGAGTACTTGTACTCATGGAACCACAAAACATGTTCTATGCCCCACACCCCTAGACCAAACCAAATAGATGAACATCTGACGGTATAATTTTGATGCAATGAAGCGCCCTTATACGGTTATGGAGGAACTAAAATGCAGCGTTGCCAAAAGCGACCGCGTATATTTAAATTTTAAAAAATTATTTTATTATTTGAGATTGTCAGCGTTACCAAATTCTGTCAAAAAAACGTAGATTTCGAAATAACCTTAACTAAATAACTAAATATTTTACACAATCAACAATAATTAAATATCATAAAACGACAATTTGCATTTTATCATTTTTATAGTTATAATACAATAAATAATATAATCAAACAAATTATACCTTTTTTTACAGAATTGGGCCACATTGGGTCTATATATAAAAATTTTATTTTAAATATACAAATTAAAATAAAAATAGTTAAGGGTATAATTAAAGTAATTTGAATTAGAAATATTTCTTTATTATGTATTACAAAAATATATATAAAATATACCTCTTAAAAAATATTAGTAATAAAAGTACATACAATAAAAGATTATAACATAAAAAAAAATTTTCTTTACAATATGTAAAAAAAATATTTTTTAAACCGAGACCAACAATAAAACCATTTTATTAAAGGGGAAAATAAAACAATTTTTTAGATTTATCGAATTCTTCCCCAAACATGGAATTATCAAGGTTTTAACCCAACCTTTAACTTTGACATTTAATTAGTGAGGGATTCATAGGGTTTTGTTCTCCGTTCGCGAGCTCCTTAATTATAAACTTTTTTTTTAATTTAAAAACCTAATATTTCCCCTTAAAATTTAGCAAAAAACTTTTATTAAAAAAAAACAAACCTCTACATTTTTTAAAACTAAATTTAATAAAACTTAAAAAATACCTGGTAATAATTTTGTTGGGTAAGCCTGACGATTAAGCCTTCTATTAGCTATAAAGTCTTTCTCAGCAAAATGCTTTGAACACACTGCAGTTTTTGAAGACTTTTTCAGGTGTCGTTTCAAAAAGTCGTTTATTTTGACACAACTTAACCCACTGATTAAACAAGTCCATATGCCAAGGACGTGACGTCATTAGACACAGCGACATCTGTAGGACATGGAGAAAGTTTATTTTAAAATAACCCCCCCCCTATTGAGATATTCGTCTATTTGGTTTGGTCTAGGCCCACACCTCAAAGTCCCACCACGTGACCACGTACGGAACGCAGTCTTTTGAAAATTTGGCATTTAAGGCTTTTCAGGTTATGTATCTGTCAAAGTATAGTCAACGAAAGAAATAATATTATGTTTAGGCGTTAAAAATGTATAAATCTTTATAACATTACAATAACAATGGATGGTTTAAGAATTTAATATAAATACTGCATTTAATGAAATTCTAAAGTGTATGGTGCCAAATAAGTAATATTTTTGTGCATTTGGTCCAAATATCTGGTTTTCTCCATAAAATAATTTTAACTAAACAGCATTTATTAAAAAAAATCTAGCTTCTCTATTATGGAATAAGAATATCTGTATTAAAGGTAGGTTAATATATTATAACAAAAATATCATCTAATTTTGTAATTTTAAGGTTAAAATTTATTTTGACCAAAATAAAGTGTACCTACATAAAGTTCTGTCAATACAAATAGTTAAAAAGCTTTGACTGAATTTGATCTACATCAAAAAATCATTAGGTATAACTTCAAAAATTTTAATAAATGTCATGTGAGTATTAAATATTTTCACATTGCAAGTTTCTCTAAAAATTGTTTGTTTTCTTATAATCTAACTTAAAGTAAGTATGCCGAGAGGTATGCACAAGTTTTGTCGTTAGAAGTATAAAAGCTTCAATTTAATTTGAACTATATTCAACAATTATTTAGTAGGTATACCTATATTTATTTATGACCATATTAACACACTCTTTCAAATAATCCACTTATTTATTTTGGTCAAAATAGATTTTTCTAACCTTAAAATACAGAATTAGATGATATTTTTTGTTCAAATACATTAACCTACCTTTGATACAGATATTCTTATTTAATAATAGAGGAGTTAGATTTTTTTTAATAAATGCTGTTTAGTTAAAACTATTTTATGGAGAAATGTAGACCCAATGCACAAAAATATCACTTATATTGCACCTTACACTTTGGAATTTCATTAAATGCAGTATTTATATTCCTAAATTCCTAAACCAACCATTGTTATTGTGATACTATAAATATTTATTAACTTTGAACGCTTAAACATAAGCGGTAACACTATAAGTATTATTTCTTTCATTGACTATACTTTGACAGATACATAACCTGAAAAGCCTTAAATGCCAAATGTTCAAAAGACTGCGTTCCGTACGTGGTCACGTGGTGGGATTTTGAGGTGTGGGCTAGGGTTTTCGCCACAGATTGTGCTAGCACAATCAGAGCTGTGGTATTCAGTAGAAAAAATACTGCAAGTATGGTACTGAGTACTTTCAGTACTTAAAGTACTCTACTGCCAGTACTTATAAAATCATGTTACTGGTACTGGGATATCAAGTACAATTGGAAAATACTGGTACTGGGTACTGGTTTTTCAGATTTTTATTAAAAAGTAATACTGGATACTTGGAAAAGTACTGGTAATGCGGAAACACTTAAAACGATACTGCCAGTGTTAATTACTGGAAGGGATGAAAAGAACTGGCAGTACTTTTAGAACATTTCCAGTATTCTAAGAAAATACCAGTTTAAACTAGTTTATTTTATATAACTTATATATAGTATAGTGTAATTAGTACCTATACACGTTTATTTTTTCTTAAAGTTTATTTTGATTTTTAAACAATTGTTTATTTCTGCGAGTGATAATTTTGCAAATAAATTTATTTGAATAAATATTTCTTTCTTACTTAAGTATACGTAAATAATAATACTAAATAGGTATGACTATTATGTATGTTTTATTATTTTCTGCCACCTGGCACCTGCCTTCCTCATCAAATTTGAAATAATTCTTATGCAAATGCAATTATAATACTTGCAGATAAATTAAGATTATGATTGTTTTGCAAAAAATTATAAATATCTAAGTTTCAAAAATTACATCTAAAACTCTTAAATATAGTAAAATTATATTCAAAAATTTATTATAATATGATTATGAATATGATACTGATATCACCGGTACTGAAAATTCTGTAAGTAATAAAAATTACTTGCAGTAATCAAAGTTACTTGCAGAAATCAAAATTACTGACAGTAATCAAAATTACTATAAGTATTTAAAACCATAACTTTATGAGTACTTGGTACTGGTAATGGTTTTTTTACAATTTCCAGTACTTTACTTGATACTGTAAGTACATTTATTAAATACTGGATACTGGTACTGAAAGTAAAATGAAATATTATGATACTGGTTACTGGATACTGACAGTACTATCGCAACAGCTCTGAGCACAATCTGTGCTGAAAACCCTAGAAGAGTTTAATAGGCCTTTGCACCTATTTTGATAAATTTAAACCAAACTAATTGAAGCAAACCCTTTTAGATTCACGTGTCGACAGCCTACTGCAACTGCGACCGTTCGGAAGTGAAAGAAACGATCTACGCGCCGACGATAGGTCCCGACCAGATCACCAACCTGGTGGAGATCCTCGACGAGAACATGGTCGACTCGCTCACCTCGAAACTGGTCGGCGACCGGCCCAACACGTACACGTTCACAAAATCGCTGGCCGAGTGCTGGCTCAAAGAGAACAAAGGCGATTTGCCGTTAGTGATCGTCAGGCCCAGTATAGTGCTCAGCACCATGAACGGCCCTCTCAAGGGCTGGGTGGACAACTGGAACGGACCTACCGGTAAGATATGAACCAAAAACCCACAATCCACACAACAAGGTCTGTTCAATCTTCTTAAAATACGAACGAAAATCGGTACCTACTGTTATGCGCACATACGGCTACCGCCATATTTGATTTATTTGCCGCCGTTAATTTAAATTACCCAAAATAGTAATTCTGTCTAACAGGCATGGAAGAAGTAACAAAGTTTTTTTATGTTTTAAAAAAACTGGAAATGTTTTTTAACATTATAAGATTTGACAAAAGGATACATTTTTTATGAATTAATATTTAGGAAATAAAAATAGTTATATTTAGTAAACTGAAATTTGACAAGAGTTTTTTAATCAATGAATTTCAGAAATTAATTAGGTATTACATTTAAATAGTTACATTTAGTTTTAAAGTAAACTGATATTGTGAATATTTGACAAAAGTATTTTAATCAATGAATTTTAGAAATTAATTATTGACATTATGTATTGTTAGGAAGTAAAAATAGTTGTATCTGGTTCTTACTAAAAACAAATGTTTTAGACATATTATTACAAATTCGCATAAAAAAGCACAATAATTGCAAACAATGAAATTGTAATCAATGAAAATGGCGACTAACGTATGAATGTATACTAGGTTGCCTAATTTTGTGATTTTTAACATGCGCGAATAAAGATCGAACAGACCTTGTTGTGTGGATTGTGCAAAAACCTTTGCTTTTTCACAGGGTTTTGGACATTTTAATGACATTTAAAACATTTTAAAAAGTTCTTCAAACACATTTTAAAAGATTTTTCTAAAAATTTGATGATAAAAGATTCGTTACAAATATTTTTAATTCGATAAATTAAAAATATCAAAAGAGAAATTTATAAATGCATTAAAAATATCATTGGAGATATTTTTAATTCATTTTTAAATCATTTCAATGTACCAGGTGCGGCTTTTTTCTCTTTAGGTAAAGGCTTTTTGTTTTCTTTTTTTTTTCGTGTGCCAATTTATATAAAAATCATGATATACAGGGGGAATAAATTCAAGTAATTTTTGCAGATTTTGTCACTTTAAAAATTTAATTTTATTTGCTTCTGGTTCTGTTAAAGACAATTTTGGTCTACCAGGGGAAATTATTTTACAATATTTGGATAAAAAAACACAAAATCTTGATCTAAAGTTGGTTTAAAATTGAATCAGTTAAAAGTTAAAATGACCCAAGTGCACTTGGGTGTATTTTTCTCCCGCTTAAAGATGAAACCAAAATCAGAATAATCATTTAGGTTGTTTTTGAAACAAATAAAACAAAATTTCTACTATCCGGTAAAACGCTTAGGTCATTTTCACCTAAAAATGCACTTGGACGTTTTCAGCTCTAACCCCTTTATTTAATTAAAAATATCTGATTGTTTAATAAAATAAAAATTAAATCGAATTAAAAATATCTCCTGTGATATTTTTAACACATTTCTCAAATGATATTTTTAATTTAGCGAATTAAAAAGATGTGTTTGGCAAAAAATACAAATATAAGAAGTAAATATTTTAAATTAACTAAATAAAATATATCAGTTTAGCGAATTAAAAATGTGTGTTTGTCAAAAAAATAAAAATAATATAAGAAACAGATATTTTAAATTTACTAAATTAAAAATATCAGTTTGGCATAAAAATTTAATCTAATTTTAAAATATCTGCTATGATGTTATTAATTCGCAGAATAAAAATTCTTATGTGATTTTTTAATCCAATTGAAAATACCACTCTAGGGTTAACACATAAAATAAAATAAAACGGCTTGGAAATTTTGTAGATTTTGAAATTTTTAAAATTCTGTAAATTTAAAAAAGAAGTTCACCCAGCTCATCGTTTTCTACTCGTCAAACCCTTTCATTTGATACCAATATCAAGGGGGTTTTGAAAAAATAGGCAATCCCCCCCCAGCCACGAATATGATTCCCTCCACGCCACGATCACGTACCCACTCTTTAAAATCGATTTTCGCACTCACACTTAGTCACATCTACTCTAGATGTAGATCATCTACATCTAGAGTAGATTACTGCGTTGGAGTATGCGTTAGTGGCGGCTGGTGGATTTTGCAAATGCCATATCTCAGTTATTAGACATAGAACCCACACCAAATTTATATTAGTTTATAATGACAGTAAATAAACAAGTTCTGCGCATGCAGAGTTTAAATAGAAGTTTGCGAGCGAAAAAAAGATAGTTTTTGGTCCGCCTACCCTCCAGCCTGGAATACAAATTTTAGTGGTCAAATTTATAATTAAAAAATTATGGAATTTTTTATAAAAATCAAAATATGACAGATTTTATTTTTTATTATTTTAGGAAAATAAATAAAAATTTATTTAAAGTGGTATAAAATCCGTAAACTATCTTTTTTTCGCAAAATTCACTAGCCGCGACTAAGATGTAGATGATCTACATAACTTACTCTAACTCTTAATTTTACAGAAAGCCGTACCGCAGAGCTATAGCATAGCATGGCCCTTGTAAAATATTTTTTCTGAAAACCTGAGAATTTTTTTTACCCCTATTACGAAACATGACCGTTCTAACATCACTTTTTAATTTGGAATGAAATATATTCATTCGTCCACTTCCACGGTATTTTTTGGAAACGCAGACAAAGTATAGTCTGAAACGCAGACAAAGTATAGTCTGTTACGGAATATACTATTAAAAATTAAAAATAAGAGTTTTGAAAGTTTTACTTTCTATTAAAACTTCAGCAGAAGACTTAGAGATTTGGAAGTCTTCTGGAAGAGTTATTTTGACTTAATAAGACTATACGACTAACGATAAAAATAAATCTCGTCTCACTTGTAGAATTGAATTAATCTGGGTCAGTACCATAGAAAAGCTCGAAGGGGTTTATATTTATATTTTTCCCAAAAAAACTTTGTGTTTTAAACTTATTTTTGCAATAAAACTTAGTTAATGTTTAAATGTCACACATGGATATAATGAACAAACATCTAAATATCAAATGTATCAATGAAAACTGTTTTCGCATTTAGAATCTTTCATGAGAGTTTATAGACCGTTTTAGAAAATTTAGAGAGTTTTAAGGGCATGTTCCGCACGATGCTGTGCGACCCGGAAATGATATAAAAAATGTATTTAAAATGTTATAAAATCTGTAATATTTAGAATTTTTAAATAAATTTTGAAATTTGTCGATAAACTATGGTAAATTATAAATCGCACCACTAAAATTTGTATTATATTTAATAGGGGGGCCAGGCTGCAGGGTAGGCGGAGCAAAAACTTTTTTTTCGCAAACTTCTATTTAAATTCTGCTTGCGCAGAACTTATTAATTTAGTGTCATTATAAACTCATATATGAGTTTATATATAAAGTTGGTGTGGGTCCCATATCTAATAATTGGGATATCGGTACATGCAAAATCCACCAGCCGCCACTAATATCTACATGACTTACTCTAACGCTTAATTTTACAGAAAGTTCGTACCGCATACCCTTGTTAAACATTTTTTTTGTAAACCTGAGAAAATACTTTAATTATGTTGTAAAATTAATATTTTTCACAAAAAAACTTTGGGGTTTTAAACTCATTTTTGCAATGAAACTTAGATAATGTCACACATGGATAATAGACTGGGCCAAAAAAATCAACTATTTTTTTTTTGAAAAGTATTTTGAAAATATGGTTTGGGGTGACAAAAAAAATTATTGTGAAAGTTTGAGGTCTATCATCGCAATTTTATTTTTTTTTCCTCAGCAAGTTTTAGGCTCAGAACCCCATTGAGTTTAACAAAATTGACTTGAAAATATTTTTTTAAGAAAATTAAATGCTCTACAAAAAAGGTTAAATTGAAATTTTCCCTTAGATAAACCGTTTTCTTAAAATCATGCCTTAAAAATTGGTATAGTTTTACATTTTGATGTTTTAAATTGGAATTTTGTAATTCATGTAAAAATCAGTACCCATAAAAAACCGCTAAATATTCTTATGGGAAATCAAATGCTTTACAAAAAAGCCTCTTAACATTTTTGGCTAAATTCACTCAATCAAAAGTTATTCAAGGTTAAAATTTCGTTTTGACTTCAAATTTAACCTTGAATAACTTTTGATGGAGTGTATTTAGTCAAAAATGATAAAAGACTTTTTTGTAGAGCATTTGATTTCCCATAAGAATATTTATCGAGCATTTGATTTCCCATAAGAATATTTATCGAGCATTTGATTTCCCATAAGAATATTTATCGTTTTATTTAGGGTACTGATTTTTACTTGAATTACAAAATTACAAAGTTAAAAGATCAAATTGTAAAACTATACCAATTTTTAAGGCATGATTGTAAGAAAACGGTTCATCTGACGGGAAATTCCAATTAAACCTTTTTTTGTAGAGCATTCAACTTTTTTCAAAAATATTCTTAAGTTAATTTTGTTAAACTCAATGATTTGGGAGTTCTGAGACAAAAACTCGCTCAGGAAAAAAAATCTAAAATCGCGATGATAGACCTCTTAACCATAATTTTTTTTGTCACCCCAAACAATATTTTAGATATACTTTCCAAAAAAAAAAAAAACCTAGTCGATTTTATTGGCACAGTCTAATGGATATAATGAACACACATCTAAATATTCTAAATTCGCAGGATCTGTCGAAACGCAATGAAAACTGTTTTCGCATTTAGAATGTTCCATGAGAGTTTATAGACCGTTTTAGACAATTTAAAGAGTTTTAAGACTGTTCAGAGACATAACTTTGGAACTTTCAGGCATCATAGCTGCCGCAGGCAAGGGCCTGTTCCGCACGATGCTGTGCGACCCGGAAATGACGGCCGACCTAGTGCCGGTCGACGTGGTGATCAACCTGATGATAGTGGCCGCATGGCGGATAGGCACCGAGAAGCAGCAGCCGCAGACCTCCAGCACGCAGCAGCACAACGAGCTCGTGATCTACAACTGCTGCACCGGCATGAGGAAACCCATCAAGTGGAAGACGTTCATCGATCTCTGCTTCAAGTACATGAGGAGGCATCCGTTCAGCGAGGTCACGTGGTATCCCGACGGTACAGTCACCTCTTGCAGGTCCTTCAATACGGTTAACAAGTGGCTGCTGCACTGGTTGCCCGCCTACGTGTTGGATTCGTTCGTTTGGTTGGCCGGCGGAAAGCCCATGTAAGTTTTTTTTTAATTAAAAATACACTTTACAGTCCAATTTTTCCCATTAGAATTTTACCAGCCGATAGTTTACAGAAAGTTAGTGTGTCAAATAAACTATTGTCAAATTTTGCTTCATCTTCACGGTATGCCTGAACGAATTTTAAAGCTTAATTTTCATGTATCCGTTTGTCCGTCATCCGTATGTCAGTTTTTCAATAAAATCGTCCGATAAGAAATGTTCTAATTTTCATGCATACGTTTTTTAATGGCGACAAATAGAAATTAAGTGTCAGTATATTCACTTACTAAATTTACCTAATTGTCATAGATACAATTATGTCAACAATTGTAACTTTAACAGTTAGCTGTCTAATAAATTTAAAGGTAGGTAAATATACCTTATAAAAAGAATATACTAGCCCTAATATACATTAAAATGTATAGTTTTAAAAAAGCAGGTCCTTTTAGTTCTAGTTTTAATTTTTTTTGTTTGTCCTTTCATTTTTTCCGTTATTCTTATTAAATAAAAACTTAACAGTAAAACAGTATTCACATAACGAACGTAATATTTTCGTTTTACAATCTTATTGAAAAAATATAAAAATATTTGAAAATAAATTATCTTAAAATAACGTTAGGCGTCAAAAACAGATGTTTAGTGACGGATGAGTTAAAATTATTTAACCTTTCTCTGTCAGACGTACGAAGTTGAAACTTGACGGACCGATAAAATGTCATAATTTTCGAACTATAATTGGACCAATAAGAGCGCTCCCGGATGAACGGACTGACGGACAAACGGATACATGAAAATTAAGCTTTAACTACGGTTTCGCGAAAGGATCGAACGGTCGATTTGCAAGGGTTCAAGAAATCGATTGAAACTTTTTTACCTTATTTCTACATCTTAATGCAGTACTTTTTTCAAAAAAAAAATCTCGTCCATTGACAACTTTGTTTTTATTTTATTTTTTTTCTTCGCTGTGTTAAAAATGAAGAAATTTCATTTTTTTTAAATAACTTTTTTATTTCAAAACGTATCGATTTGAAATTTGGACAAAATGTAGATCTTACTAATGACAATTAATCCATGAAAAAATTTTGTTTAGATTATAACGTACAGGGGGCGCTGGTGATAATTTAGTTTAAAATTTAACAATTTTTAAAGGGTAAATATTCGAAGAAGCAACTTTGTTTTATAAATTTGAGTATAGCACGTGAAAGTATTGATATTTGACTATTATTTGATATATTAACTTTTTTATGCAAATGATGTTTCTGTGGCCAGGACCAGTTTTGAATTAGCATGCTAATTCAAAACTGGTCCTGCAGTCATTCACGTACGAGTGCTCGTCAAAGTTAGTCGCATCTGGCATCTTGCCGTCGCGCTCTTGAAACTTACAAACAGCAATACTCGCAATGATTGCTTATAAAGTGCAAATAGTCTGTAGTGTGGCAACTAGTGTTTCTGTAGTCCACCCTAAGGTTTCTGTATCTGGGAAAAGTTTTTTCAAAAACCATAACCAACAAATAAGCCCTCTTAGTGCAAACAACTATAGTGTAACAATTACAGTGAGTACAGACTACTCTTCTGTCAATAATTAGTTAAGGGCCAAGTGAAAAGGAAAAGTGAAGTGAAGTGACAAGTGCAAACGTACATAGTGAAACTGTCGCACCATCTGTCAACAGGATGTTTTTCACTGGTCAAACAAAAGAGGCCAAACAAAGGAGGAACAGGCCACCTGCAAATTATTGCTAAGTATTCTCAATTCAATCGCATGACCTAACACATAATTTGCAAATTAAACTAAACAAGGCACATTGCCTAACCCCTACAAAAAACAATAATCATCGGCAACAAATAAAATAAAAAGTCAATTTTCCAAGAAAAAACCAAACAGCCGATCGCGGTCACACACCAAAGTTGAACAGGGCAATAAAGCTGTTGACATCAACAAAAAATTCAAGAATAACAAACCGAGACCAAATAAATTTGACACTTAAGACATAACACATAAACTAAGAAAACATAAACAAAGTAAAAAAAAGCCCCCTAATCAATATCCATGGAATTTGTAAACACTAGACCTTGGGAACTGCCTTATCGCAGCGATTGCGGTCTTACGCTCGGCACGCGTGATGGGCTCCTCCGCGGGGGGGTGCAGCCTCCCGTGGCCTCTCCGGGGGATGGTCTACACCAGTGTTGCCAGATTGGGCGATTTATCACAAATTGGGCGATGTCGAATGTAAATATGAACATAAAGAAGATTGTACGCTGATTGTAAATGTTAACTAAACGACGTTATTTAAAAAATCATGCGTGAATGTTCAATTACTTTTATTTTACAAGTAAAATTCACAATGACATGAAATTTTTATCTGGCAACACTGGTCTACACAGCGGTAGTCGTAGTACGATTGCCGTTGTGTGGATTGTCTTCCGGGGGAGCCGCGGGGGGTTGTATTTCTTTGCGAGGGAGTTTATCATGTGTGTCGATTATCGTACCAGCGGCAACAAACGGCCTAAACACCTGCGCGCTAACTAAAGCAAACAGACAAAAATATGCAAACTTGAACGGAAGATCATTACACTACTAACGACAGACTTACCCGACTACCATCTACAACATCCCCGCGACCTGCTAATGGGAAAAACCATTACCAAAAGGGGAAGAATAGCCCAATTAAAATACTGGGCCCAAGTCACTCGTAGACAACGCAACAGCATACTACAAGCCACCCTTAAACTAGATCTTAAAGACAAAAAAGTCGGTAGACCATGCTTCACATCTCATGACACGTTAGCACAAAACATGCACTTCTCACAAATTTACAAGACCAGTTGGGAGCAACTAAGCAACAATAAAAATAAAATAAAAAAAAAACAACCGACACATTTTAGTTCAGGAACTATCCGACACGGACAATGACAATAATGAACAAGGCGAAGACCTCGACTAGGAAACTACACCCCTGCAGCGTAATAACAACTCCCCATCTCCAAATAGTAATCCCAAATGTTTGGAGTAATACTAACCGACTGGTCTAGGGGGATTCCGCGTCGTACTTAGTTTTAAGTCGGCGTAATTGTCCCCCAAAAACCAACTCCCTCCCGTCCCTCATCCATACCCCACTGAGCGTATAGCATAGGCTCGGCGAACCCGGGAACGGCTATTATAACTATTCGCCTCTCGCTCTCGAGCCCCAAATAGGGGACAGTACGGAACGCAATGGACATTCGCACCCAGCAAACACGGGTGAAGCCGTGCAGTTGTTGGGGAAGAAAAAAAATCGGCGTAAGTAAATATAGGCCTGTACGGGGTTCGAGAGTCAAGAGGAAATGGGGCTGGTTATACGTCTCTTATACTCATACTCATACTCAATTCAAAACTGGTCCTGCAGTAGCAGTATTCATAAACGCTTAGTTTAGTACATTTTTTCATTTTTATACAAATATTGTTTTATCTTTTATTAATAATTAAGTAAAGCATAACACATAAATGACGTTTAATATACAGGGTGTTTCACGTACTTAGTCCGTTGGAAGTTTCTAGGGAATCGCGAAAAACATCGATTTAAAATTTTAATAGCGTAAAGTATTCGCTTTAGACTCTTTTCCTAAATTATTTTAAACAAAATAATACTTCCTGTTTTACCGGAATACCTCATATATTTTTACATTATTTAATTCTACATAAAATTCTGAGTAAAATGTCTATACCATATCCTATAGGATGGCTAAATAAAATTCTGAGTAAAATGGCTATACCATATCCTATAGGATATGGTATAGCCATTTTACATTTTACCTAAAGTCAATATTTTTTGAGTTATTATTTTTTCAATCAAATATTTTAATTAATTTTAAACAATGACAGATTTGGTGGTAACCATGGATACTGTTACATTAAATCATATGTAGAATTTCAGAGGTTTGTTGATAGAAAATAGTATTGAAAATATTAGAAATTGTTAAATGTCTCTGAAATTTTAACTTTAGGAAAGAGTTACTATAATACCAATCGAAGGATTCTTTAATGTTCTATTTGATTATGTTAAAACATACAGGGTTTTCCATTTATAATAAAAACGTTGTTATTGTTTGAAGTTTGCCTAATTTTAAGTGGTTTTTCTTAAGGTATTTGTTGAAAAACCTTTAAAAAACTAAACAATGTTTTAATATTCCAAAAATTCCAACCCCATGTCAACAAACATAATAACAAACAAATTAGAGGCTATTTTGATTAACGTGCATTTTAACGAAAAAAAATAATATCTTGAAAACTATTGACTTTATGTATAGTCTAAATCAAATTGTATATTCTATTAAAATTTCAAATCCATACTGTTTGCGTTTCTCCAGAAACACCCTTATAGCATTATATTAAATATAAAAAAATGCAAAATAACTGATTACAAAAAATCGGAAAACAAATGAATAAAAATATAGTTATATCTAAATAGCCGATTGCAACATAAAAAGTCTTTATTCTAATTTATTTATTATGTTTATAGTACACTTATAAATTGAAACGCAATCAGTCATTTGTAACTTATAAACTGAACTGTTAAATTATCTTTCATGCTTCTAATGATAGAGATAAGTTTGTGATGCCTACTATGATCAAAATTAGTAAACTTAAAAAAATTTAAAATTTATAAATAAAACTAATTTTAGCTCCATCTATGGCGATTTTTTAAAATAAATATGTAAGAATTGTATGTTATATATAAAATATTGTATGTAATATATAATACATTATCTTATAAAACTAGTTAAAAGAATTTATAATTTGTAAAACACGTTAGTATTACGCTCTTTGAAGGCTTAACTTAAAAATGGTGTCTCTCGTAGAAACATAATTTGCATTTAGAAGTTTATATATCAAATAATAGTTAATTATCAGTACTTTAACGTGATATACTCAACATTATAAAACAACGTTGCTTCTTCGACTTTTTAACCCTTAAAAAATGGTAAAATTTTAAATTAAATTGTCCACCGTGCCCCCTGTATATTAAAATCTAAAAAAAATAATACGTGGATTTATTGCCACTAATAAGGTCTACATTTTATCTTAATTTCAAAGCGATACGTATTTAAATAAAAATGTTATTACAAAATATCGAAATTTATCTATTTTTAACACAGTAGAGTGACTTAAGGCCTGAAAACCACAGGGATCAATGGATGAAATTTTTTTTTTGAAAAAAAAGTACCATTTAGATGTACAAACAAGGTAACAAAAATATATTCAATTCTGGCATCACTTGCAAACAAATGTGCAAAATTTGTTCGATTTTTACGCGAAACCATAGTTAAGCTTAATTTTCATCTATCCGTTTGTCCGTCAGTCGCATAAAAATGCCGCCAAAAACTGATTCATGTTTTTTTTTTTAATTCTGTTTATTTAAAAGTCTACCATTGACAGAGTACACATTTGTACACCGATTTTTATAAAATTAGAGTATATTATTGAGGAGACTTAAGTCTCAAGCTTACTTTTATTTAATTTTATTAAAAATCAATTTAGTCTTAATCCCATTTTGTAGCCTGATAAACATAAAAATATCTAAAAAAACATTGGTGGGTATACATCTTTTTTGCGAGTTATGCCAAAATCATGAATTTACGCTTTGGCTTTATTAAAAGAAGCGATTTTTGGCTAACCCTGTATATATTAAATGATGTGCACAGTATAAAAAAGTTTTCTCCAAATCTCTTCTTAACAATATAGGTACTCCAATATTATAAAAATCGGTGTACAAATGTGTAATTTGTCAAAGGTAGACTAGATAGACAAAAATAAAAAAAAATTATGTATTTTCAATAATTTTTGAAAAGAGGAGCAGCTAGGATTTTGGTAAATATCATTTTTAAGTCACCAAAAGGTCCCGAAGAAGAAACTGCAATCAGTTTTAGGCGGCATTTTTATGTGACTTAAACTTCATTCAGATCTTTGGGTTACATTTTTTTTCTTTTTTATTTTATAAAATATAAAATTTTTCTTATCTTAATAATTATACTAAATAAATGTGAAGGTGGTTTGATTAAATAATAAAATTGGATTCCTTGGTACGTTCACAATTTTGTTTTCAATCGCATTTTTTTCAATATTAAAAATAAAAAGTCAAATTTAACATCAAAGAAAAATTAATAAAAAACTAAAAGTAAGCAAAACTTCCGATTTCTGGAAGGTTATATTTTTGCGCAAGAAAGGGGCGTAGCATTTTTGACCCCATTCTCTTAGGATTTGTTTTATATTTTGCGATGTAGAATGGAATTCGATGACACCCTACTCAGTTTAACATTCTTATTGAATACTTTTTTAAATTGCACGTGATGTTTTAACATCTCGCCGTTATTGGCTTGCCTCGGCAGTATATAAGCTGAGGTAGTCTTTTGTTTTGGGTGTGTTCCACTTCACCAAGTTGCCCGAAACTGATGAGACCCGATATAGATAAATCTAGATAAATCTATAAAACAAAAACTTTGGCGAGGTGAAGGTTCGATTCTTATACTAATTACTATTTTATTTTTTAGCATGTTGAAAGTACAAGACAAACTGTCCAAGGCAGCGACGTGTTTGGAGTACTTCACGACGAAAGAGTGGCGATTCGACGACGAAAACGTTCGGATGTTGAGTTTCACGCTCAACGAGAGCGATAAACAAGAGTTTTGCTTCGACGTTGCCAAAATCGACTGGAAAAATTACATAGAGAACTACGTACTTGGAATTAGAAGGTAAATTAACAAGAATTTAAGTCTTTAAATTTACGAATTCATGGCAACATAATATTATTTATTATACATATTATAATACCCATTTTTGGTATTTTACCGTTGAGTGGAGACTTTCTCAATCAACGCTTTTAATAATGCATTAAGCAATTTGAATTTAGACGACTTATTTGTTTTATGATTTTTACTGAATTGAAATGTTTACAAATTTCACGTAAATCATTACTAAAATGTGTATTTATTGTATCTAATAGGTACAATTTACATTTACAGGGACTGTATGGAATTTATCTCTTCATTCGGATTTCCACTGTCTAGCGATTTAAAATTTTTTTGTGAATTATTGGTAAACTAATAGAGAGGTGGAGGGACATACATATTTAAACCTATTTTTGACACCTACCCCTTTTGCCTATTTTGAGGGGTGGGGGTGACTTTGGATTTTTAATAGGGATGATGTATTTTTTTTTAATTCGAATCTACGAAAAAAAACTAGATATGTGAGCACACAATTTTTTGATTTGCACTTTCGGCTACTGAATTATGTTTTATTAGATTATAACAAACTATCTAATGCTTATTTTTTATCCAATGAAAATTTAAAAAAAACCAAGGAAAATTTATCCAATGAAAATGTTAACCAATGAGAATTTTATCCAGTGAACATTTTATCTAATGGATTTTTTCCTATGAGAATTTTATCCAATGAAAATTTTATCCAATTAAAATGTATGTTTGAAGTTGAATATTGCTTATCCAGCCTTTTATCGTTAAATATTGCTGAAGTTTTTTCAGTTTCCTTTCTTTTAAAAAAATACGTTTCAAATATTGAGAGAATAACGTCATAAACAGGATTCATTTAAAAAAAAATCTGTAAAATTTAACCAAAAAAACTTACCGGAACTTTTAAAACCTTAATTGAGGAGCATCCGTGCAAAACCGGCTAAATCCATTTTATTCAGTTTTTTTTTTGATTTCGCATCTTTGGGTTCATTTCTATCGACAACCAAGATAATTCTGTTTAAATCCGACTAAATCCATGTTAAAATCACATTTAAAAGGTAGCTTTAGGAGCAAAACCGGCCAAATACACGTTTTTATAGCAAACCCGGCTATATCCAATAAATAATAATATGTGGCTTGGATATGTCGATACTACTACTAAAATTTGTTCTGTTTTTTCATGTTTGCACTAAATTTATTTTATTAATATTTTTGGTTTACGGGGCATAAAATTAATGCGCGGACATTGTCGGTTCAAATTTTGCACATTTTGGTCGAAAAATATCTTTATTTACAGTCCCCGGCCAATTTATTAGACTCGCTTAAAAATTTTCTTTAATTTTGGAAATTTGTAAAATAGTGTATCTTCTCATAAAAATCCATTTTTTCGTAAACTACAAAAGTGATTTTATAAATTGACGCTTCAAAGGACGAAAAAACACATTTTTGTAAGAAGTAATGGAAAAAAAATACATTAAATACTTTTTAGACTTTAAAAGTTTTTTGCAATAAAACGTTAAAGTGTCGTAAAAACCCGGAAAAATTGGTAAGTGTATTTTTTCCAGGCCTTGAAAAATTTGTCTTTTTTGGGAGGAAATGATTTAAAAAAAACATACAGATCGGCTTAAAAACTAAACTAAAAAACTCATTTTTATAAAAAGTGATTGTGAAAAAATACATTAAATAGGTACTAATATTTTTCACAAAAACGACTTTTTGAGCTTTAAAACTTTTTTTGCAATAAAACGTTAAAGTATTTTATTAATATTTTTGAATAATAAAGTTTTTTTTTCACATTTTATTCGTTTTTTATTAGGTTTTTGAGCAAAACCGGCTATATACAAACCATTTTTTGAAATTTTGGCCTTAATATAAAGTTTTTGAAAACGAAAGTATGTCTTTTAAATCAAGTACCACAAAGCCCACAAAACTCAAGTTTGCTTTTTCTTTTATCTGTAAATGCCAGGAAACCGAGAGTTTTTGCCATTTTCCCAACATTTTATTAAAGTGGATATAGCCGGTTTTGCACGGATGCTCCTCAATTACAACTCAATACAACTTTTTGCTTCATAAAAACTGGTAAATCTGCCTTATCTGTGTAGTGCATTCCCCAGTGCACCACAATAATAAAATAAGAAATTACACTAATCGAGTCTAGAAACTATAAAAGATCATCCAAGCTGATTAGCTCCTTATAAAGTAATGTACTACTTTTTATATTTTCATCCCTATGGGAAAACGTTTTCGAAATATCCCCTTGTAACATACATTTTTTTCTAATGCAAATTTTTAACCGGTGGAAATTTTATCCAATTAGAATTTTAACCAATGGAAATTTTATCCAATGAGAATTTTATCCAGTGAAAATTTTATCCAATGAAAATTTTATCCAGTGGAAATTTGATCGGCACAAAAAGTGATAAAATAATGTGCTACATATTTTTCTTTTTATATATTTCAGGTTTATCTTCAAAGAAGAACTGGAGTCTCTGCCGAAAGCGCGCAAGCAAATCTCCCGGCTGTACTGGTCGCACCGCATCATGCAAGTGGTGTCGGTGATGTGCATGTGGCACTTCCTGACCCTGCGCTACGCGCCGCTGCGCAGGCTGTGGAGCAACGCGCTGCGCCTGCTCATCCACCTGGCGCGCGTGCTGCCGTTCGTGTGAACGAAGCGACGCGCGCACCTGTTACGCCGCGTTAGTTAGACACATTTTGATACCGACTTGTTGCTATTTGCTAATGGGATGCAAGGGGAATGCGTGCACATCCGCGCGACGAGTTACTTTTCTCCCGAAACAAGCATGGATGGTCGAGTAGTCCGTGTCTAGTTGACTTTTGACGTTGTAAAGTAAATTTAGGCGCTGCGTGTCTTTTTCGTTGCTTGTCGTTTGTAAATGATTGATTTTTGGTTTACGGGGCATACAATTTATTCACGGACGTTGTCGGTTCAAATTTTGCACATTTTGGTCGAAAAAATATATTTATTTACAGTCCCTGGCCAATTAATTACAAATTTTCTTTAATTTTGGAAATTTGTAAAATAGTGGATTCTTCTCATAAAAATCAATTTTTAAACTACAAAAAGGACGAAAAAACACATTTATAAAAAGTGATGGCAAAAAAATACATTAAATAATAATATTTTTCACAAAAACGACTTTAAACAATAAAACGTTAAAGTGTCGTAAAAACCGGAAAAATTGGGTAAAAAACTGTTTTTTTTTAATATACAGAACGGCTTAAAAACGCTTTTGACAAAAACACACATTTTTATGAAAAGTGATGGTAAAAAAATACATTAAATACTAAGATTTTTCACAAAAACGACTTTTTGAGCTTTAAAACTTTTTTTGCAATAAAGTGTCGTCGTAAAAACGGAAAAATTTGGGAATAACTGTTTTTTTAATATACACATCGGCTTAAAAACGCTTCTAAGGACAAAAATAGACATTTTTATAAAAAGTCATGATAAAAAAATACATTAAATACTAAACGACGTTTTAAAACTTTCCTAAGCTCCTACAAAAACCGTAACAATTGAGGAAAAAACTGTTTTTTCCGTTTTTCCCAGGCATTGAAAAAATTGTCTTTTTTTTTGGGAAAACTGTTTTTTTTTAAATATACACATCGACTTAAAAATGCTTGACGAAAAACAAATTTTTATATAAAGTGATTGTAAAATAATACATTAAATACTAATATTTTTCAAAAAAACGTCTTTTTAGGCTTTAAAACATTTTTTGCAATAAACCGTAAAAAAACATAAAAAATTGGCGGAAAAAATGTTTTTTCCGTTTTTTCCCAGGCCTTGAAAAAATTGGCTTTTTTTTGGAAAAAAAGGATTTTTTTACCAGTATACAATTTTTAAGGACGAAAAAACACATGTTTATAAAAAGTGATGGCAAAATAATACATTAAATAGTAATACTTTTCACAAAAACAACTTTTTAAGCTTTAAACTTATTTGCAATAAACGTTAGTGTCGTAAAAAAAACGTCAAAATTGGAGAAGAAACTGTTTTTTGTGAAAAACTGTTTTTTTTAAATATACACTTTTTTAAGGACGAAAAAACATTTTTATAAAAATTGATGGTAAAAAATACATCAAATAATAATATTTTTCACATAACATACATTAAATACTAAAATCTTTCACAAAAACGACTTTTTAAAACTTTTTTTGCAATAAAACGTTAGTGTCGTAAAAAAACATAAAAAATCGGCGAAAAAACTTTTTTCCGTTTTTTACCAGGCCTTGAAAAAATTGTCTCTTTTTGGAAAAACTGATTTTTTTTACTAGTATACAAATTTGTAAGGACGAAAAAACACATGTTTATAAAAAGTGATGGCAAAATAATACATTAAATGGTAATATTTGCACAAAAACGACTTTTTAAGCTTTAAACTTATTTGCAATAAAACGTCAGTGTCGTAAAAAAAAACGTCAAAATTGGGGAATAAACTGTTTTTTGGGAAAAACTGATTTTTTTTTAAATATACACTTTTTTAAGGACGAAAAAACACATTTTTATAAAAATTGATGGTAAAAAAATACATTAAATAATAATATTTTTCACATAACATACATCTAAAATCTTTCACAAAAACGACTTTTTTAAACTTTTTTTGCAATAAAACGTTAAGTTCCTAAAAAACCGGAACAATTGGGGAAAAACTGTTTTTTCCGTTTTTCCCAGGCCATGAAAAAATTGTCTTTTTGGGAAAAACTGTTTTTTTAAATATACTTACACATCGACTTAAAAATGCTGGACGAAAAACACATTTTTATAAATAGTGATTGTAAAATAATACATTAAATTCTAATATTTTTAAAAAAAAAACGTCTATTTAGGCTTTAAAACTTTTTTTGCAATAAACCGTTAGTGTCGTAAAAAAACTTAAAAAATTGGGGGAAATAATGTTTTTCACATAAAGGGCTTTTTTAGCTTTAAAACTTTTTTTGCAATAAAACGTTTTTATAATCACAATATTATAATAAATTATAAAAAAATTCATGTCAATTTTTCCGGAACTTATACCCTTTTTAGCCGCTTATTAAAAGCTTTTGATAATTATCAATAGATGGCGCCACCATAAAACGGAAATGATAGCGGCCGAAAAATTGTTATGTTTAGGCTGCTTTTGAGTACTAAGTAACTTTTTGACCATCACTATTTTAATTTTATCGAAAAAATGTGATTTATCTACCTAAAAAGCTGTTTTAGTGGCTCTTAACAAAAAAAGTGAATTTTTAATACTCAAAAGCTGACAAAAAATAACACTTTTGGCCGCTTTCAATATTGTCTGTTTTAATGATAATTATGTCAATGAATTTTGTCTTCGTCTTCTTTCTAAAATAATGGCTATTTAACGCGATTTTATTAATAAAATCACTTTTGTAGCACAAAAATTCAGTTTTTTGAGAATACACCATTTCAAAAATTTACAAAATTAAAGAAAATTTGTGAACATCGGCCATGGACTGTTTATTTTCATAATTAATTAAATAGAACTAAAAAAATTAAAACCTGAAATTAGTATTTAGTAAAAATGTTGTTTTAACATACAATAAATGAAGCCAACTTATTTGGGCGACGTTGTCAGATTGTGCAAGTTTGCGACGTTCGTGCACCGCCCCCTAGATGAAAAAGAAACTCGGCGGTCGGATTTGTACGCATTCGAAAAAGGCAAGTCTAAAAAATCAGCAATTGTTTCTCGTGTGGGTTTGTACATTTTGTCCGGACGAAAAAATAAAAGACGGTAAGTTAAAAAAAATGGAATTTATAAAATCGGCATTAAATTGCACTTGATTAGAATCGTGCAGTCTTCCATTTTGAAAAATTTGAAAATTTTGCGCACAATTTTCAATTGTTTTTTGTTTTATTATATCGAAATTCTTCCTATCACTGCGAGTTTTAAGCACAAGCCTATTTGAGGCGCTACATCTGACAACCATGTTTCCAGGTTTAGCGCCTTCAATAACTAAAAAACATTTTCTATTAAAATAGTTTAATTTTTGCTTAGAGCGACAAATTGTACAAATTTGGGAATTTTGTACATTATGTGAATGTATTATAGGTAATGCGCAGTTTTTCATGCGCAGTTGTAAAATTGTTAAGACGCTTTTCATTTGTTTTCCCCCGTGAATGATTGTGTAATATTCCCTAATAATTCGGACCAGTCAAATAACGAAACATTTTATTTATTTATACGTTAATCGGTATTGTGGTATTTTTTATTTATTTACACGTAGTTTATTTTAGGTTTTATTTATTTTATGCGTTTTTCTTATTTGATTGGTGACTGACATTAATCGACTTCTATGAGATATTTTCGATTTGCAATAGTAGAGGTGGGTTTATGTTAAAATAAAATGAAATAGAAGTTTTGTGTGGTGATCAAAACTGTAAAAAACTTCATTTAAAATTGTAATTATATTAAGTAAAAATATTGTTCTCAATTCTTAATTTTAAAAATATTTTGTTTATAGACTGAACAAAATTTTTGCTAGCTATAATTATTGATGATTGTTTTGTCCATACATTATAAGATTTAAAAAATTAAAAAAAACATCCAACTGCAAAAAATATCCTTAAATGGGGTGTCCAAAAGAGTCCATGACAAAATGAAATGTAAATTTGGATTTAGTAGGTTATGTTAAGACATTTTACAGACACCCTGTATAATATTTTTTGGTTTGGATTGTTTCTATTTAAAATATACCCCTATAAACTGCTAAAGTTATATGCATTTAATTATTTGGCAATGGTTGTATGTATATGCAAAAACTGCCATAAAACTCAAATTTAGGCGATTTATTAAATAATTTTACATGGGTGTTTTTTTGGTTTAAAAAATACATTTTTTGTATTGTTTTTTTAAACTGTGTTGCCAATTTTACAGCAATAACCTAGAATATTGTAAATAGTTACTTTAACATTAAAAGTACAGCTGTTGTCAAACATTATATTCCAAAATGTCCAGTAAGAATCCAGCTTATTTTTTTAAAAAGTTCGTTCCACTTTGAATGTTTTGTTAATTTAATTAATTTTACCAAATATACTAGTCTTCTATATAAATAAGAATTTTAAATGAGAAAAAAGCTTTTTTATATAATTATTTTGTAAAAATTAAATTTAAATTATCGATGTAGACCCAGGTTCGAAAAAAATATCGCCGATTCCCTTCGAATGCAATTTTTCGACTCGCCCTCGTATACCTCTAAGGCTTACCACACACACATCTTCCCAATTTATATTCCAGTTTTACAATTTTTTTTATTATTAGTGATATGTTTGAATGAAAGTTGTTTGAAGAGGAATCGGCGACTTTGTCAAAATTATGATAAAATATCTAAGGAAATGAATTTTAGGATAGTCCTGTAGAAAGGTTTACATTTTTTATGTAAGTTGTTAATTAATTTATTAACGTTTGTTTAAACTAAAATTGTATAATGCAAGTGAAATAAAGATAGATATTGTTTATTTGCGAGTATTTTTCTTTCCCAACATATTTACAGAATGCTCTACAAAAAGTTCTACTTTGACATTTGAATAAGGAATGCAGTAAAAAAAATGAGGTTAAGTATGTATTAATAATAATTATAATTAATTATTAATTATACTATAATACTATAATTTTCTTATACCGTTTCAACAAATAATATG